CAGTACCATGTGCTTAAAAAAAGCTGTCGCACATAGTTTCCTTAAAAGTCTCACTGAACTTGTTTGACAGGTGCAGGGAATGTGTCATTAAACACAGGCTGAGACTGCTGTCGCTGGTTTTAAATAGCGCTTGTCACTCATCTTGTGGTATGTTGCTTAGCGTGGAGGGGCCGTGCCATGCCCGGTCACCTTTCCTCTGCTTCCCTGCTCCTGTGCCGTGGAAAGCTGTGCTCCTCCTTGTGTCCTGGGAAGGCAGAGAGGGTGCTCAGCAGGCTTCTGTAGTAGAATTTCGTGGCTGATTATCATGGCGCTGTCTCTAGCCTCAATCGTGGGGATGTAGGCACCTTTTTTTTTTTTTTCTTTTTTCCATTTTTTTTCTTTTTGCAAATCCAGAGCCTCACACTTGCTAGGCAGGCATTCTACCTACCCCTTGAGTCATTCCCCCAGTCCTTTTGTTTTGTTTTGAGACAGGGTGGGTTTTTTTTTTTTTTTTCCCCAAGCTGGCCTTGAACCTTCCATCCTCCCGCCTCCACCCCCTGAGTGCTGGATTCATAGGTGTGTACCACCATGTCCAGAAGGAACCTCTTTCAACAAGAGACCTTTGGGACTGGAGGTGTGGCTCAAGCAGTAGAGCACCTGCTTTGCAAGCTCAAAGCCCTGAGTTCAATCCCTAGTCACGCCAAAAAAACAAAAACAAAAGCAAAAAAAAAAAAAAAAAAAAAAAAAAAACCAGCCAACAAGAAACACCTGAACAGCTGGGCAGGAGAAACTGGGCTGAGCTGGAACAATAGGTGGAGAGGGTGGTGGGAGCCCGGGGCCTTGGGGGGCTCTCCAGACCTCAACTTTTCTGCTCCAGTTGTGAGAAACTGAGAGCTTAGTGTAAACCACACCCTGTGGGACTCCACTGGGTCCATGTCATCGGGCCACCCAGCTCTTTTAGACATGAGTACCTGGACAGCACTTGGAGAACCCCTGGGTTCTTGGAGCACTGCCGAGGCACCGTCTGGGAGTAGGGAGGACGGAGTGAGTGACCTGCCGGCTGGAGTGGGTGCCTTTGGATTCATTCCTTTTGTGAGGCTGTCCCCTGTGTTGTTTCTGGGAGTTCTGTGAAGCCACTGCCAACTGAGTGAGCAAATGCTGAGCTGCTGCTCCGCGGGGTGCAGAGGAGGTCCCTGTTTCTGGTAGCTGATCAGTATATCATCTTGCTTTATGTGTGTCTCTGTTTAAAGACGCCTTCCTTAATCTAAGTTGTTGATTCAGTTTGTGGAGCTCCCGGCCTGAACCTGTAAGAGCCTGAGCAAAGTTTCTCTCATGGACTTTTCCATCGAGCACAGTGCTGACTGTGCCCAGGGCCCATTTAAACAGCAAAGTCACCATTGAAAAGCACAAAAATGCAAAAACACATGGCCCTCAGTAGACTGTGAAAGGGACACTTGTTTGCAGTGGAAAAGCCTGTTGGCCTCCCAGTTTCTGCCCTCTGTGCAGGTCCGTGAGTGCATGGGGCTGTGAGCGTTGATTCGGGCTCAGGTTTTAGTGACTAGGTCGGTTTGTGAATACAGAGCTCCCTGTAACCAGGGCGACTGCACTTTCACACTCCCACGTTGAGAGCTGGGGGAAGAACAGCCATGTCACTGGAGTATGTGTGACAGCTGTTCGGGGATTTCTCCGGGGACACCAGCTGGGTGTTCTTAATTCAATGCAGTTCCAACACTGTCTACACGGGGGCAGAGTCAGATCCCCACTCAAACACCAGGTGGAAGACCCAGGCTGTGACTCCTGTCTGACTTGCCGTAGGTTAGGATGCCCACAACCCTGTCCTGGGGTAATTAATTTGCTGGGATGGCCCACAGATTTCAGGGAAACGCTTACATCTACTAACTTGCCAGAAGGATGGTAACATGAAACAGGGAACAGTGAGATGAGGAAGGGCACAGGGTAATGTCTGGAAGAGTCCTGTGTGCAGGGCTTCTGTCCTTCTGTCCCTGTGGACTGGAGTGGGCCACCCTGATGACATGTGAACGTGTTTGTCACCCGGAAGCCCTGACATCCCAAGGTCGAGGGGCTTATGGGGGTTTCATCACACAGCATGACCGATTACTGACTCAGTCTCCAGCCCTGTCTCCTCTGCCAAGAATGGGTGGAGTTGAAAGTTCTCAGCTTCTGCTGATTAGTCCTCCTGGTGACCAGTGTCCTCCAGGAACCCACCAAGTGTCACTCATCGGAACAAAAGATGCTCCTGTCACCTGGAAATTGTGGGGAATTAGGAGCTTGGTGGCAGGAACCCAGGTAAAGACCAAATATTAGATCAAGAGACACTCCTGTCACCTTCCTTGCCCAGTTTGTTACAGTGGTGTTAGGAGTTCTGGGCTAGGAACCAGGGTCAGAGACCAAGTTGGTTTAGTGTCTATTTTTGGTTTGCAGGGCTGGGGGTGGAACCCAGGGTCTCACACATGCTAGACAAGTGCTCTTCCACTGAGCCCCACCCCTCAGTGCCGTATTTCTTATTGTTTGGCAGGTGTCCGACTGGTCCCTGTCCTCGGCACTGTGGGGTGCAGGGATGGTGCAGTGGTTGGTGTCTGGGTATGACGATCCTGCACCAGCAGGTTACCGCTGGCCTGTGCTGTCCACTCATCCAAGGCCTGCTCCGTGCTGGGACACATGCTCAGGAGTGACGTGGTCTCTGCTCAAGAGGACTCGACCTCTGCTTGGACAGAGGAGTTAGGAAGCCATTTGCTCAAGGGCATGTGACCGCAGCTCCTCATTTGGCCTCATGTGCTCTCTAGCCACGGCCCTGTGACGTGCTGGGCAAGGCCTTAGGTGGACCAGCATGGCCCGTTAAAGTGCTATCTTTGATGAAAAGTCCTGGGACACTTTTCCCCTGGGCTTGTGTGAGCTCAGGTGGGCATCCTCACCTGCCGCTGCTCATGCCCTGCCTAGAAGGGCAGAGGGCTGGGACTGGGGTGGTGCTGGGATTGGGGATGAAATATTCCTGTCGTAAGCCACCTGGGCACATCGCACAGCCTCCCGTCTCAGCCCCACCGGCTTTCTTAGGGCCTAGTTGGAGTCCCTACCCAGGCCGGCTTGCTTGCAGGGACTGGTTAGGGAACATTCAGTCTTTGTGGGGACTTGGAGGGGGTTAGCACGGGTGGTGCTACCTCAGCACAGGTAGGGCGCCTGGCCTGCCTACCTGCACATGGGAAGGAGCCACTGGAGCTCTGGGACCTGGGCTTTTTCTTCTCGGTGCTCGCTGCCCAATTTCGGTGCTTTGTGGGAATCTTATCTACCCTCCCTGTCTCCCTGATGGATGAGCAGGGGAAGTGGTAGTGTCAACACATCCGGGTCCCAGTGCTTTGGGCAGCTCCCGGGTGCAGCTCCCGGAAGGAGAAGTCCGTGTTTATCGTCACCCCTGCTCTTAAAAGGAAACCTTGATCTTTCTTAAAAGCTGCTAGAAAGAAAATGAGACAGCAAGCATTCATTGAGTGCCTACTGTGTACCGGGTAGAGGCTACTGGAGAATCCACTCTTTAAAAGTTGCTGCCTGGGTTACCCTTCTGAAATATTCTCGTCCTGTAACTCAAGGCTTTGTTCTTTAGAACTTAGTGTGGGGGAGAGGGTCAGCGAAGGCTCAAGACGGAGTCCAGCAGGACAGGGACAGAAGTGCCTTTCTCCCCGTCAGCCTTTGGAATGGAAACAGTGAAAAGGTGTAATTCCTTCTTCTGGCTTTTGACACTGTCTGGAAAAGGATGCATCCCCCAGCAAGGATGTAACTTGCATTTTAATTAATTATCTTAGTAAGAGGTGCCAGGCTGGGAGTGTAGCTCAGTGGTAAAGCACTTGCCCAGTGTGTACAAGGTCCTGGGTTCCATTCCCAGCACTGCCAAAAAAAAAAAAGTGCCACCTCCGAACCTCCATCCCCTTATTTCATAACATTGGCCGTCTCTACCGCTGCTGTACTCTATTTCATTTTACTTTTTGTTTGTTTTTGAGACAGGGTCTCACTATGTAGCTCAGGCTGGCCTTGAAGTCTCAATCTTCCTGCTTCTGCCTCCTGAGTGCTGGGATTACAGGTATGCACTACCACTCCCAGCCCTATTAGATATTTATTGCTGTTCTTCTCAATTTGGTACACGCTCCTAGGAGACAGGCCTTTGTCTTCCCACTCTCATACTCCAGGCTTGGTTGACGCCTGGCCCATCGTGGGTGCACCCTGAGCAGCCTGGTTAAGCCCTCATCACTTCTGTCTTCTCATCTGCGGGACATGATAATAAGGACCCTTCCTCCTCTTCCTGATGGGGCCCTGATGATGATCAGATGACATCATGGCTGTGCAGTCGGTCCCTTAATTTACTCTGAAAGTGTTGCAGAAGGAGTTGGGCCTCCCTGCCCTCAGAGAGGAACCAGGAACTGCATCCCAGCAGGCAGGAGGCGAGTGGTGACTGTGTGCTGAGTGAATACTGTGTTGCTTGCCCTGAAATTAAAATTCTGCAGGAAGCACTCACTACACAGGCCACTAGGTCTTCAGAGTTTTCAAGCACAGGAGTCTTTCTGGTCAAGCTGGAAGGTTTTCCTTTGTGCCTGACCCTGTTTTATTTTTGTCACCCCCCAGGAGCTAAGCTCAGCTCTTGGCAGACACAGAGGTGCTGAGAACACACGCCTGCCCTGCCCAGCTGTCCTCTGTGGGCGCCCTGGGCTGACCGAGAGGCCCCCACTCTGTGTAGTGCTGGCCTTCTGCTCTGAGTGTCACAGGGTGTCTGGCTGTGCTCCTGGATACCCAGAGTCCTTTGCTGTCCTGGTCTCGGACTCACTCTTCCATCGAGTCTCCCGAAAAGGGCAGCTGTTACACCTAAATCAGCTCTGAGGACTGTGACAGCTGTGAACTTCACGTAGCTGGTGCCAGATCCCTGGTCTTAACTCTGGATGACCCCGGGTTTGCCTCGTGTTGGGGAGTGTGTTGGGGGTGGCGGTGACAGGGAGGGTGGGGCTGCCAGGCGCTGCTGGAGGAGGCGTGCCCTTGATCGCTGCCTATCCCAAAGCCCCCGCTTGGAGCCCTGTGAGATGGGGCGATGGCCTCCCTGTGGAAGGGTGGAAGGGCCTCGGCGGAGCCTGGGGAGTGGCAGGTTAGTGGCACACGGATAATGACCCTTGGCCAACACTGGGCCGATATGTCATGATAAGCCGCAGTGGTGCAGAAAGATTGAGATGGAACCGAGAAACTCTTGTCACCTAGTGACGTGGTGACCGTACAGTGCGCAGCGTGTGGTAGTGAGTGGCCGCTGGCCCGGGCTTCTCCACACTGCACCGGTCCTTACTGCAGGGCCCGCGCCCCTCATCAAAGTCAAGTCCGCCGTAAGCAGTCTGCTCTGCAGTGCCGGCAGCGCCTCGACTGGCTCATGTCCACCTTGTCCCTTGACTGCACGCTGAGGCCACATGGAGTGAGTGACCCGCAGCAGGCAGGTGTGTAAACACACTGCACAATCTTACACGACAGCTAGGTTGGCTAGTGACACAGTTCTCAGAAGGTGTTCTGCCATTAAGTGACACAGAACCGTAATTATCATGTGACAAACAAGCTGACTGCCGCCTAGGTGCCAGGTGCCTTATAATTCATTGATCTCGGCAGCCCCTGAGGTCGGCCACTGTTACCAAGCCCGCTCCACAGACGTGGAGCCTGCCCAGCTGCTGGGTGGCGGGCTGGCTTTGAAACCAGTGTCCTGTAGCTGAGGAAAGGGGACACCTGTTGCCGGCAGAGGCAGCAGTGTACTTTACTTCTGCTCCCCCTCCATTCCAGAACATTCTTTTGCAAAAAAAGCAGACAAAAAAAGGGGGGTGTGGTGGCACATGCCTGTAATCCCAGAACTTGGGAAGCAGATGTAGGAGGATCATGAGTTCAAGGCCAGCCTGGGGGACATAGGAAAACAAAACAACCAACGAAAGGCAAGACAGAGCCTTGTGCGGGGCAAGCATGCCTGCAGCACAGCCAGGAAGCTCAGGTGGTCTCCGGCTTTCTCTTTCTGGAATTTGATTCCTGTTGTCGTGGAAACGGGGTGACAAGTGTTTGGCGCGTTAGTGTTTAGTCTTCTGAGTGATTGACAAGAGAGATGCAGTCGACCAGCTGCCACATGCCTGCGGTCTCCTCACCTGCCACGGGTAGGATGTAACCTGGCCCTGTGTCACCCACAGACCCCCAGCCGCCTCTCCTGCCTCCAGACCCAGACCCCAGAAGAGCAGTTTGAGCCCTGAGTTTGTTGTTCCATTTCCCACTGAGCCAGCTGTGTCTCAGGTCACCTCAAAGGAGTGGATACGCCCTCTGACCTCTGGGCCACGGCTGCTTTCTGGGGAGCCCGCTGTGACCCAGGCTGTGGGAGCGGAGGTGGGGTGCTGTGGTCACAGAGCTATCGCCAAGAAGCAGCCCAACCTCCGGCTTGGCCTCTGGTTCCTCAGTTGCAAGTCATGGTGGTGTCCCCTCCCGCCCATATATGACAGCATGTGGGTCCCTTCTGCCGCTTGTCAGTCTGCAGAGTCGCTCGGAGCATTCCTGACGCCCCTCAGCCACCCGGCCCCGCCAGTGAGTTGTCTGTTTCCTTCTCAGCGTTTGCAGCAGGGTTGACCCCGGCCGTCCCAGTCTTTCTCTGCTTTATGGGACAAGAAGGGACCCTGGGCTGACCTTTTCCCAGGAGGGTGAAAGGGACATTGTTTTAGGAGGATGGGGGGAAGAAGGCCCTTGCTTATCTCGAGGTAGCCCAGGGGGGAGAGTCTGATGTGTGGAACCAAGTTTCCCTCACTCTGGTGGGGCACGTGGTCTTTGGGCCCAGAAGAGTGGCGCTTGGGACATTTTCTTTGGCGGGGTCTGGTGTGGTGAGTTTCCCTTTAATGAACTTTGGTCCTCCCTTCCCTTTTCACCAGCTGTTCTTGGCAGTGTTGGCTTTTCTGTGGTCAGCTTGGGCGAAGAGCTTCTGTCTTGCTTTGGGAGGCGGTGAGCCCTGCTCTACGGTGTTCATCCAGTGAGCTGATGTCCCTTCACCTGCTCCTGTGGCGGTGACATGGGGCCCAACACATGCTCTTCTGTTTGGTGACTTGAAGAATGCGAGCCCCCCCGCCCACAAAGGCCCAGTGAGCTCTGCCCACTGCGTCCTTAAGGAAGGGACACTGTGCAGTGTGAGGGACAGCAGCACAGAGCCCTCTCTCCAGGGCTCCGGCTGACTGGTGTTTTGGTCCTCAGTTCTTCTCAGCAAGGCTTTTGTAGGTGGCAGGGCCTTTCCCCAGGACCCAGGGACTCAAGGACCCAGCAGAAGGAGCGGAGAGGGAATGGAGGAATTGGATATAGAGCTCTGTCCTTTCTCCCAGGAGCTCTTAGAGAGGATACATGTTCCAATGAAAGGCACAAGGGGACATTGAACTGGGTAGTGCTGGCGGGGGGGGGGGGGGGAGGGGGGAAGCCGATCTCCATAGACAGAGGCTGCAGCTGAAGGGGGCGGAGCCTGCAGCTGAGGGCGGGGCCTGTTTTGGGCTTTCTGCCCCTTGCTGGGCTGGAGCTCTGCACGCAAAGGTCAGATGTTCTTTCCTTTTTTTTCTTTTTTGCGGTACCGGGGCTTGAACTCAGAGCCTGCACTTTGAGCCACTCCACAAGCCCTTTTTTATGAAGGGTTTTTTCAAGCTAGGGTCTCTCGAACTGTTTGCCTGGGCTGGCTTCGAACCACAATCCTCCTGAACTCTGCCTCCTGAGCAGCTAGGATTACAAGTGTGAGCCATTGGCGCCCGGCCAGATGTTCCTTCCTGAGGCTGCAGCCTCCCCGAGCTTATCTAACCCCGGGCTCCTAGTCATGGGCCTCCCATCCTAGACCCCAGCCTAGGTCCCCAGCTCCGACCAGCCTTTTGAGAGGAGGGCTCCCGAGTTCCTCCAGCCCAGGTTCACCCCAGCAGTGTGTCTGGAGCAGGTCCCACTGCGCTAGGTGAGCAGGAAAGGAGACTCTGAGCACCCTGCCCCTCCCCTCAGAATCACAGGACCCTCGGCATGGTCAAGGCTCTGAGAAGTCCTTCATGCAACATCGTGTGATCCGTGTTCCCTCCACTGCCTGGGTCCTTGCTGGCTTCCCATGTGGCCTGTGCACGTCCACAGCCGGGGACTCGCTTTGGGAACTGCAGATGGAGGCTGGATAAGTGGGTGTCTTGCTTGTCTGGGCTGCGCTATCAGGGCTGTTGGGCTGCCTGACCGGTAGCCTCCTTGCAAAGCCCACTGAGCGGCTCCTCTCTCTAGACGCATGGTTGCTGAGAGCAGCAGGCCTGAGGTTTCTATTAGAAACGGGGTCCCCAGGCTGGGCTGAGACCAAGTCCATGCTGGGTTCCACCTGCAGCCCCTCAGCCCTCGCTCTGTCTTTGCACCAGGTCTTCCTCCGCTGCAGGTGACGACCTGGATATTGTGTTGGTGCCAGTTACTGATGTGCATTTATTTTGGCTCCTCAGCTAGCAGGACGACGAGGAGGACCAACACCCCAGTTCTGGTTCTCACTGGTCTTGGGATCTTGGGCCATTTCCTTGACTTCCCTAAGCTGGTGATAATTGAGGTACCCGCCCCCCGCCTCCTTCTTGGCTTGCTGAGAGTCCTGTGGTCATTCCTGCTGGCCCAGGGCAGGTGCCCAGAACAGGGTCAGCAACAAGATATTCATCCATGTTAGTCTAGGAAGGCTTCCTGGGGGAGGCAACATTTCTGCTGTGATTTGAAAGCGTCTGTCCTGTTGGGAAGAAGCCAGTGCTCGCTGGGCTCTCACTGGGCTCTGCGGCCTCTCCTTCCTCCCTGCCTCTCTCCCCATGGTGGTGGGGCAGTTTACATGGCATCTTACCATGTGAGTGTGTGTGTGTGTGTGTGTGTGTGTGTGTGTGTGTGTCTGTGACTTCCCTATGACTGCTATTTTGTGGAAAGGACTTTGTAATTGACAGACTGGGTTAAGATATGAGCGTCACCACTTGGCTGCCTTTGTCACATTCCCTGCTGGCTGAGCCCCTGTCCCCTGATCTAGTGGCCTCCAGCCTCTCCTGAGTGGAGTCCTGAGTGATCTCATTGAGGAAGTGGGCGGCAGGCCCTGGAGAGAGGCGTCTTCCTGTCACTTGGGGCTGGACCCAATATTCTGGCTTTGCCACTTGCCCCAACCCCACCCCACCAGCATCACCTGCTGCTCTTGCGGGTTGGGGTCCTTCAAGCACGAGAGGGGCAAGAACTTGAGAGTGAAGAGCGAGCAGTGTTCTAGCAGGACTTCAGAGGCACCCTCTCTCTTGTGAGACGGCTTCCTGCTCTATAGAACGATCCAGAGCAGAAGGACGCACTTAAGTGATCGATCCTAATCCCTACGTGCAGGGAACGTGGGAATGTGGGGATGGAGGATGAGCACCCTCTCCCTCCACCCCGCAGTACAGACCCCTACAAGACTGCCTCCTCCAGGGCACCCTCCAGCACTGCCACTCATGCCCTCCGGGGCCCTAGCCTTCTTACCCCATCCTGTTTACCTCTTGGACACTGCTGCTCTGGGGCAAGGCTGTGTCTGAGTAGCTCCCTGGTTTGCCCCGTGCCTGGTGCCAGGCCTGACCCTAGTGGACATCCACGTGTGGCTGTTGGTGAGTGAATGAACCAAAGGAAACGAGGCTAAGCTGTGTCATACTTAGGTGGTAAGGTCTGTGAAAAGCCAGACGTCCTTTATTTTTTTTTTATTTCAATACTAACTAATTTATTTAGATTTTAGAAAAGTATTTTTTTGCTCCATTAATTGACATCCTTTATTAAGTGGGGGAAATTTAAAAAGTGACCAGACATGTCCATGCCTGGTCTCCCTCACGCTGGGCTCCTGAACTCAGACGCTAACCACAGCTGAGGACGTTTTTTGGACACAGAGTGTCTGTGCAATGGAGCAGGACGTGCTTTGACACTGGAGTTTACTTGAGCACAGGAGACTCCAGGAGGAGCTCCCCCTGAAATGGAGTGGGTGGGGACCCAGCAAACTGGCCGGGACAGGCCCCCGTGGCACATGCTCATCTGCACACAGTAGGCCCTTAGATTGGACTTGCCAGGCATCAATGGCCTTCTCATATGTGTTCTATTTGACCCCTGGCCGTGAGAGCAGTGGGTGTGCTGGGTCCTGCCTTTGGAGGACAGTGTGCCAGGGGCAGCCTGGCTCTGTGATATAGACAAGGACCCCACAATGGACGCTGTGTCCAAGTTGGTGACAGAGTTTATTACAACGTAAAACAACACTGGAGTGGGAGGACTTTGGGCAGGAATGAAGCAAAGCTCTGTGATCGCCAGCAGGGGACACTTGGGACAGGCTCCACCAAGCACCTGTGGGAGCCTGGGCCCCACTGGTCATCTGCAGTAGGCCAGGAGGGAGCCCATGTTCAGCTTTGAGCCATGGTCTGTTCTGTTTTGCAGGCCTGCAGTGGGAAGGGCCCTGAAAAGACCATCCTTTAGC